ATGTAAGTATCATTGTGTGTATCTACGTGTATCATTGTGTGTATCTATGTGATTTCGAAATTCGAAGCATAATATAATGATTTGGGTATAACCAAATTATTCATATTATCAATTTTCAATTCATATTTTGCATTATGAATAGATGTAACTCTGTATTTATATATATATATATATATATTCATCTTTGATTGTAAAATCTATTCATTGTTTATTGTTTGCAGTCGCTTTTCCCAGGCTTGTGGTTGACGCAGATTACAGCTGATCGTTACAAAGTTCCTGATGATCCTCAGGCTCGAAAGGTAATTACTCAATTCAATTTTGTGCTTTGATTTACATTGATTAAGCCATCACCCAGTTTTCGAAAAAATTAATCTTTATTATTTTTCCAAATAAAAAAATAATAATTTCTTCTATTGAGTTTACACATCAGAAATTCCAATTCGATAATGATTTTAAACCGGAAGTAATTGAACCAAAATACTTCACGTTCCAAAGATTTTCTATTTCTTAGATACACTTAACTAAGGACTTAAGGAGTGATATGTGAGACCCAATTGAGTATATTAATTGAATTGGGAGTTTTTTTGTTCATACTTTTCGACGTAAATAACATTATTAGTCTTCGTAATTAACAATTTCCTTAAATTTGTTACTGTATTTGTATCTTATTTTAGTATTTATTTGTTTTGCAGAGGTAGCAGTAACAAGGATTGCTGCTGTTTGTTTGAGCTAGGTGGTCCTTCTGTTTGCTGACAACTGGCAGAATGTAATTTGTGTAGTACGTCACCATCTTTGTGAATTGGGAAATTGATGAGGCAATTGAATCTCCTGGTAAAATGTGTTGTTATGTATTGGAATAGGTTAATTGTTAACACGGAGACAAGATGATGTATATTACTTTTTTAGATGGATTGCCAATGTTTTATAGTTTGACTTTGGCAAGTTTTGTATATTTGCTCAATATTATGAGCCTTTCTCATTAAAACACGTCTTGTCTTTTAACACCATGAATGTTGTGGGTTTGAAATAAGAAAATAGTTTCTTCGTGTACGAAAATAAGGCTACATTTCTGTGTGTATTGGAATAGGTTAATTGTTAATACAGATGTATATTGCTTTTTTAGATGGATTGCCAATGTTTAAGAGTTTGATTTTGTTTATGTCAATATGTATATATTTGCTCAGTACTGTGAGCCTTTTTCATTGAAACACATCTTATTATTTTCTAACACTGTGGATGTTGCGGATTTAAAATAAGAAAATAGTCTCTCCGTGTACGAAAGTAAGACACATTTAAACTATTGAACTGATCTTCTGTTTACGGTATACTAATTAGATGTAGATGGGAAGCATTGCATGATGAATCCATACCTGTGTTCATCCTAGAGAGTATATGAGAAACCAATGACATGAGGGTCAGTAAAAGTTTTGTTGACTTGATATTGGAATAAAATTTAACCTCATATAAAGAAATGATCTCATATTCACTGATGAGTTAGAAATTAATATGTTATTCTTGCGCGAGATCATTACTATATATATTTATGGACTTGGGAGGCATCCTTATGTTTGCTGGTGGATATTTTATTATTGCATTTGAACGAAACAGAGAGGCATCAACAGAGCAGTTTGATCATGATAAACATGTGAATAATGATATTTTTATTGATATATAATTTATCTATCTATTTTCTCATATTTCAAAATGTTGTTTTACATGCAAACTATTTGTCTCATTGAAAACTCAAATTCTCAATCATGTTTTGTGGTTGGCCTGAATTTTGGCGGTTTGATACCAACTCTAACAGGTCCTACTAGATAAGGTTAACACCTAATTTATTTATATTTATTTTACTTCCATCCGAATTCAACGTGGAACAAGTCTACCAACATAAGATATGTCATATGTTTCATTCCATTTGGTAGAGGCAATACCTGGACAATTGTAGAAATTTGTCCACAATTGTCTATGTATAATTTGTAGTAACAAGGTATGTGCCATTTCATTTGGTAGGTGTGTGTGACTTAAAAATAATCTTGAATTTAATTAGGAAGAACATTTCAAATTTGGTCATTCTTATTTATTTAATTCATTATAATATGCATCATGCACCAAGAACTTGTAATTTAGTAGTTTTTTTATTCTTTAAAAGTGAGATTATTGTTGGTTAAAGTCCTCAATTTTTTTTTTTTTTTTTTACTTTTATAATGACACCATTCTAGTGTTGATCAGGACGAAATTTAATGTTTTAGTGCACTTAGGCGTGTCAAAAGTGGACGAGTATGGTATCTTGGGACAGCAGAAGCTGTTGAATCATGAATGTAATGGTGAGTCCCACCATAAGCTAAGGGCTAAGATGACCCGATACCGTACTCTCGAAATAATTTATCATTTTCTGTCAAGGGTGTATAATAAAATCACCATATTCTATTTACTTTTTAGTCCTCAACCATTCAAATCCTCAGAAGTTTCAAACCTCTCATTTCTGAGGTGTTTCCGGGGTTAAGACCATTTCCTGGCTGAATAAGGAAACTAGAGAATCAATAAATCATAGGAGTATACATTAAGGTAGCCTCTGTTTTATATATGTGATTCCACTAGCTGTATATACAAAATAATTGTATACTGTGCGTTCCCGAAAAGCCCTCCAAAGTATAATTTTACACTTTGTTCCAATACTAAGAATTATAATGTATTCTTTAACTAAAAAAAAGAAAAAGAATTATATTGTCTAGTATTTCATATTATTGAAATTAAATATATAAGACATAGGAGAACAAAAATAATATATGTATGGTCGAATTTTTAAAGACAAATTTTTTATTAATAAAATATTTATTATAATCAAACATATCTGTATTCGTATTTTTTTAAAAAAATTTATGCCAATTTTTAAAACTTTTTTTAAAGAAGAAAAGTGAATTATATCCATATGTTCATAGACATGTATTTTATATAACCATCTATATGGGTGATATTATTGGCTTTCTTTTGGGATTTATTATTAGGTTACCTAGTGGCTAGGATTTAGATTTGTTTTATCGGTTATATTTAATTTTTTTTCTTCTTTTTGTATACTTGAGCTTATTTTTGTGGTTTGGTAAGAGAGAAAGTAGTGAAAAATGAAGGATATGAAAAAATTTGTAGTATTTTTAAAGTTTTGTTGGAGCAAAAAGGATATATATATTATATTATATTATATAAGGAATAACAAAATTTCATAACCACCTATCTCTTTTGTAAAATATATGTGTGTGTGTTTATATATATATATATATATATATATTCTCAAAAGTATAATTTTTTTTTTTTTTGGTCCATGTTGGAACTAACAATTATATAATTTCTTTTTATCACTCTAAAATAAAATGAATTTATGCATAAATTTTTAAATAACGTTCTAATAGCCTTTAATTTTCAATCTTCATGTGTTTTTATTTTTATTTTTATTTTTTTTTTGTAAGAGTAACAAAATATTGATTCAAAACAAGTCACTTAAAATTATTATTTCATTCAACATATATAAGGTCAATTTAGGTAATAATCACATTTTCTTGATAATAGTTTAATGGTAATTTTAACTCATTTTCAAGTCCAAGGGCAATTCCGTAATCCTCGCCGGACAAGTAAACAGAAATCATTAACCTTGGTGCGTTGTAGGCAGCTGTTCTTTAAGATATGATCAAAACGAATCCAGGTCCGTTGGAACAATAAAACCCCATATAAAACCCTCAAATATTGAAATAATCGTAATAATATTGAATTTAATTAGGAAAAACATTTCAAATTTGGTCATTCTTATTTATTTATTGGTCAAATAATAAAATCAAACCCAAGCAATTTTCTCCTATTCAAATCACATAATCTCGGGTTTAAATAAATAAATAAAAAATTGACTTTTAAAGGACTATAAATTCAATTATTTTGGATTAGTGGACTATATATTTTATCGCGTCTAACTATTTTTAATTCATAATAATATGCATCATGCACCAAGAATTTATAGTTTAGTAGTATTTTTTCGTCTTTAAAGTGAGATTATTATTGGTTAAAATGCTCACAAATTTTTTTAATTAAAAAAAAAGTGTTATTATCTAGAAAAATAATAATAATGTTAATTATTATTATTATTATATGCATCATGCCATACTAACAACCAGAGTACTCATGGTGTCTTTTGAATCCCTTATTCTTAAGTTTGTTGGAGTCCATTGAAATATCTAGATCCACTTGTTTTGACTTAAAATGATTTATATGGTTATAGTAAAACTTAATTTCCTTCTAGTTGGAAACTTGAAAATTGGGAGAAAAAAAATAAAAAAAAAATCAATAATTTTTTTTATTAGCAAGAAACTAAAGTAATTATTTATTATCAGGATCCAAACTCTTAACTTCTTCAAGAGATAAAGAAAATATCAATAAGCTGTAGAGTCTTGATAAAAAATTAATTATTAAAAAATGAACAATAAACATAAGTATAAAATAAGAATATAAACATTGTATATTAGTGTACATATATATTGGCATAATAATAAAATTGCTCCATTATAATTTGAAGATCACGATTCCAAATAGTTACTTCAAACCCTTTTTTAAATATCACCATATTTATGTATATGTATATGGATATTTGCAATTATAGTTCACTATAAATCACTTGGAAGTGTATATGGTCTTCCTTATATTTGTCCCTAAATACTATATTTTTTATTTAATTTGCTTATTCTATAAATAAATTTATTAAGATAACAAATAATGAAAAAGAAAAAAAGAATCAAACGAATGATGTTACATCACATCTGAAAAGTAACAACTCTTCTAATAGTATGAAAATCGGACGGCTGGTAGAAGACATGGTCTAGTGATAAACTCATCGAACGGTAGATTGGGAACCATCACACAGCAGCTACGTGTAAGCGGTGAAGACACCTTATGAGTGCGTAAAGCGCACCGATGCGCATTGTAGCACTTACGCTAGTTAGTGTCCAAAAAGATTAGAACGTTAAAACCGCCCTCTCTTTCTCTCTCTACTCTGTATATATACGAACTTGCGTTTCCCGGTGATTCCACAACACCACAGAAAAGAAAACCTCGCAACCTCTCTTATGATTTTTCCGTCAAAGATTTTCTCAGGAAAATCTCCAAGAAAGTTTACGAGAAAATAATAAATGTAATCAGAGGAAGACATACAGAAAGAGAGAGAGCTCTTCATTTAGGAGTATTTGCTTTTAGTTTATGGTTTTTTCCTTCGGTCGATGGTGATTTTAGGTAAAGATAGAGATGGAGTAGCAGAGAAGTTGACGGCGATGGGACCGGAAAGATCGAAGCCTCTGCACAATTTCTCGATGCCGTGTTTGAAGTGGGGGAATCAGAGGTTCTTGAGGTGCGTGAAAGTGAATTCAAATGGCGATGTTTCTGCCGTTGATCGCAGATCTTCAGCTCCGGCAGTGGATAACGGCGTGATCGGATGGCGGAGGGAGTCCGAATCGGAGAAGCGTGGATCGATCATCCGAACGGAGAGTTTCAAGAAGTCGCCGTCGCCGGCGGCGAATGTTGGGGGTTCCGGAAGGAAATCGGAGGCCGAGAGCGGCGGAGATGACGGAATCGAGGCGATTAGGACGAAACTGATGTTCGATCTTCAGACAGCGGCGGATAAGATGAAAGTCGCAATTTTGAGGGAAGGTTTGGAGGACGAACCGCCGGCGGCGGCGGCAGCGGCGAGGCCGTGGAATTTGAGGACTAGAAGAGCTGCGTCGAATGGAATGGGCGGCGGTGGAGGGAAGAGCTTGAAGGTTGATGATCGGAGACCTAATTTCTCACCGTTGAGGACTGAAAACAGGTCGCCAAGATCGAGAGGTGTCGCCGCTCCGACCACCGAGAAAGAAGAGAGACCAAAATTTTCCGTTTCGCTTTCTCGGCGAGAGATTGAGCATGATTTCAGGGAGATGGTGGGACATCGGCCGCCTCGAAGGCCAAAGAAGCGGGCTAAGATTGTTCAGAACCAAGTGGATGTGAGTGAATTCATACATCTCAAGAACTCTGTGTTGTACTGTGATGTGTGTGTATTTTATACACATTATATGTTTGATATTGATATCTGATTCACTGTTCTATTGATGTTGCAGTCACTTTTCCCAGGCTTGTGGTTGACGGAGATTACAGCTGATTGTTACAAAGTTCCTGATGCTCCTGAAAGTGGAAAAGTAATTGCTCAGTTTAATCCATTTTGATCACTTTGATGATTATGTAATCGTTTGATTTACAATGATTAACACTTTCAATAATTCTTTTTTGCAGAAGTAGTAATGGGAAGATTTGCTGCTGTCTCTTGAGATTGGTGGTTCTTTTCTGTTCTTGGAAAATTGGTAAATTGTGACCCTCTTCTAAGTAGTGCTATACTGCACCATCTTTGTGAATTGGAAATTTGATGAAGTGTTGAATTTCCTGGTTACACGCCCGTGTGTAATCGCAGTCCCTTGAATGTTAATTTTTTTTAGTTTTAATTACATTGTTCATATTTATTTCTGGTTATTTGAATAAGTCTATACAGAGAAAAGATGGGAGGATGATGTTAGATGGATGGTAATGTCTTCCACTTTGAGCTTCTTTTACTTAGTATACCGCGCATTACTGTGCGTTTTTTGTCAATGAATATCATTTTTCATCTTTTAACAGTTTGTGGTTATTTGTGTGTTCAATCTTCAATGCCATCAAATTGATGAATGTGTTACCATATGTTTTTCAGCAATTTAGTTAGTCAATTCGTTTTAAAGTGATGTGATGCAAACAGAGTTGCTTTAGAAGAATTATATGTTTTGGGGATTTGGTTCTAGAGCTTGATCTTATTTTCAAGAAAGTGCCTTTGTATCTTTGCTCATTATTCAATTGCTGTGCCTTTTGATATCAGACAGAAAGTGCTCAGCTAGAATTAAGTATAATCACTGTTTAGGGAGATTGGTGTACCTCACTGATGATAACAACTCAAAATTTAGGTTTCTTTTGTGGTAAGTAGTGCCCCAAAGGAGCAAATAATAGATTTAATAAATATGATATAAAATTGATCTGTATCCATTTACAGATTACGTGCTTGGATTGCTGCTTTAGGTCAAAACATTCATGAACATTGCGGAATTTAGGAATTGAGACAATGGCTATTATGGCTTCATTAATCGTGCAGCCTTTTTGTTTACTTCCCTCAACTGCCTTAATGTTGACAGGAGCCCTTCTTTATACTAGTAGCTAATGGTCATATTTCTACAGCTCATTGGTACCTAATTATGACTCCCTAACACATCTTCATCATCAAAATAGTTTTGATATTAAAGTTTCATAGACCATGGTACGTCACTTGCCTCTGTTTCTGGTTGTAATGTTGTCTATTTTTTCATTCATGAATAGCTATACTTGGTGTTTCACTGTTCTTTTGCGGTTTTCAACTGTTACGAAGGTAGACATACAAGAATTGGAGGTAGCTTTATCAGTTGGTAAACTGAAACTGAATGGACATGGACTGATGGACATCGATCTGATGAAAAAATTTTAATATCCTTTTTCTAGACATTTTCACTATCATTCGGTTAGTTATTATTGTGTCAAAAACCTCTTTTTCTTAGCTCTTTAGTATCTTCTTAACCGGAACTTTGTCATGCTTCAACCTAAATTGTCTTTTGCTATTGAGTGGCAAAAGAATGGAGTGCCCTGAGCTCAGGCAATCTGTGTTCATGCTGGAATGGGGAAACCAGTAGAAATGCCCCATCTATCAACATTAGACCACAACCCTTCTAGATAATTCCTCTCTCTGTTTTTGATTCCCTTGAACATATAGGAATAGAAATGAAATTTCTTGTAATGTAATGTGCCAAGCAAGTAGTTCTATTTTTGCTCCTGCAACTTCAACTTCGAACCTTTTAACTGTAGGATTATTGAGGGATTGAATCCTTACTCCCCATCCTCGTTATTAGATAGATATTTAAATTCAAAAATTTTGTTCCCGATTCTCAAAATGGCTAGTGTTTCTGCATATGTTTAGTCTAATATTGCAGATGGTTCAGATTTTTTTATTGATGAGCCTTGCATTCTGATGCATTGCTTATTGATTTGATCAATCTCGACCATTCATTCTCATGGGCACGGGCAAGACGTTTTCCTTGTGGTGTTGCTATTGGAGAAAATTCGAGGGGTACCTTACCAGACATAAAGAAAAGAAAGAAATTAGGTTTGAAGGGTTGGAGGTCTTAAGAGAATGTTCTGTAACTTCTGTATTCTGTTTATATATCAACATTCCATACACGTCGAGAAGATGTTTGAGACGTTAAAGTAGTTGAAATTAAGGTTCCCATTTGACCATGAATAGGTTTTTTTTTTTTGTCTTTTCAAAGTGTCGAGTCTGTTGACTTATCATCTCACCCGGTAGGAGGAGGCCTGGTTGAATAGATCTGAGATTTGGGATATTTGACGAGGATGGGTTGGTTGTTGGTTAGCCTTCTGTTATAGAATGTGACAATGTGTTATATACTACCTATATATTTATGTATATATCAAACATTCTGTGACGTGGGCTTTCTAATTTTGGACCATGCTGATGGGCTGGTCTAGGGCACTAGGCTTGGCCCAACTTATCCTTTGTTTCTGGCTTCAGTTATTAGGGCTCCAAGACCCCAAATTCAGAAACATAACATTGAGGAAATGGTAACATAAAGCATATTGCGTCACTGCTTGAATATTTTTCTCATTTCGTCAACCTTAGGTAATTGGGCTCTCCTGCAGAGTTTTTCCAAGCAGGTCTCTTTTAACCCCCACCCCACCTGCTTGAATATTTTTCTCATTTTGTCAACCTTATCGTTTTGCCGACTAATGTGTTCATTGTTGATTTGAACACTTTGAAAGAAGAGAAACTTGTTAGACACGGGTGATTGAGATAGCGAAAAAAGGTCGATCAAGTGTAGCAGTACTCAAAATATATAGATGTGTGTAATATGATTGCGTGGCGATGCCTTATAATAGAACAATTATATGAATTAATCAATGATGGATAACATTACAAATCATTTCACTACAGATTTTCAGTTGTGGTTATCATTTCCCTTTCCCAATTTGAACGCTTTTCTTACGGTTGGTAAAAAAAAGAACTTGGTTAAATCCCTGTCAGAGAGCTATTTATTCTTCGTTGAAAAAAAAACAACATTGACTAAATGCATCCAAACAAAGTCAAAAAACTTGTTTTAAACCAATAACCCCCCAAATACAACAAAAGTTTTCGACTGAATCGCTTGAATTTCAAAAAAAAAAAAAAAAAAAATTTTAAACCAATAACCCCCCAAATACTTGTAGGGTGAAAATAGTAAAAACTTGTTTTTAATAAGCACGAGGAGACATGTCGCCCGGTGTAAAGTACTTATGAGTATTATGTTTCCTTCCACTTTTTTCATCCCATCATCATCTTGTACTACAGAGTATTTTACAATACCAGGAGAAGGTATTCCAAGAGCTTTTATATATATATATATATATATATATATATATATATATATATATTATGATATTTCCCAAAGCTTAATACATTAATATGGAAGTCTGAATGAACCATCTTGCAGCGGCAATTGTTTAGTAGCACTAGTTTTTTTTTTTTTTTTTTGATGGGGATTATTAATTAGTCATACTAATTTAATTCCACTTGTGCTAATTTTGGGAGTTGTATTTCAAATTCGTTAGGTTTAATTACTTTTTCATTCAATAAAAGGCTTTAAATTTACAACTTGTTTTAAGTAACATTTTGAATCTGATACATTTAACATAGTTTTAACATAGTTTTTTTTTTTTTTTTTTTACTTATATTAAGTTTAAATTCATATGTTAATTTATTAAGTACATTAAATGTTAAGTAATAAATACATATATTTTTAGTGAGAATTTGAGCCACATCGCGTGCAAAGCGTGAGAGCGAGAGCGACAACCGTCGAGAAGAATTGTGTGACTTAGGTCCTACATGTGCACACTTTACTCTAAGAAGAAGAATCAAGAAAGGGAGGAGTTGGCATTATAGATTGAAATAAGTAATTTTGAGTACGAGTATCATAATCCGACTTGATCAGACAAAGTTGAATATACTAGTTTATAAAAAGAAGTTTTCAAGAAGTATATCAAAATCTTCGAGATGGTGCCTCTTTCTGAATTTGTTTTATCCAGAGGTTCGAATCTGAGATCTGATGCTTCAGAAGGCACTAAAGTCGAAGTTCTCAACCACTAGACTAACCCCGTCGGATTGATGAGAGGCACCACCAGAATCCAAATTCTCAACCGCTAGACTAACCCCATCGAGTTGATGATGCTATTTTCCAGAAGCCAGAAGCAATTATCCACTTCTATATTCAGGATAAGCAATATATTTGTTCTAATCATCTACAAGTACAATTTCTACTAGTAGAATTAGTGATGCATATCACTAGTGGTGGCGTTAGGTAGATGATAAATAAGCAAGAAAATGATAACTCAACCAATTTTCTATTAAATGAAAGACGTGTCCCAATAATTTGTTCACTTCAATTTTCTATTACTAATGTGGACCTCACATCAGATTTGGGATCTAAATGGACAGTTAATCGGACTCTTTAGCACTGTGCCTGAGTAACAGTACTCAGATGATTATCGTACTGCTCTAAACTTATAGTACAAGTGGTTCACTTGCTAGTAGTTGTTGCAGAAAAATGGTCCATAAAAAACAGCTGCAATTTTTGCTTTACAGCTAAATCATCAAATATCTCAAGCTATCATTCACTTATTAGAGTTCTTAGGATCATTGTATCGGTCCATAAGCTATTTATCGATCGATTCGTAATCATTTTTTAAAAGTCCAATACCATCACACACATCATAATAACATAGTTCAGTAAAGATTACAAATAATAAGAATACACACTCTTTATCTTCTCAAGTGTTTATCTTAACAGATATTGTCGTCAGTCGATACAAACATTCGAAATTATATCATTTTTCATATTGTAAGAGCAAAATACAAAAATAGATCGATTTCGATTAATAGAGTTTTAACAACTCTTTGTCAATAAGAACACAATCTCACAGTCTCACTTATCTTAAGCGTCGATCTTAGTAACTTCTATTTCAGGCAGTACAAACATGTAATTAATAATTATATTATTTTTCAGGTATGGTGAGAGTAGTGAAAAAGAGTACTTTTATTATAATTGACACCTAACTAATAGACACGGGATTCACACAACAGTTTGTGAATACCATAGCTATGCGAGGCATCGGACATCATCAATTTTATTTGTCAATGAAAAAAAATATCAGGAAGAGAGAGAGAATCAATTATTGGATGATTTAAGATGTTGTTGTCTAATCAAAGAGTGTGGATCCAAGAAATGGGCCATGGAAAAAAATAGTAATGTGACCTAAGGCTAATGGTAACACCTGATCATTAATTAATCAAATCAAGATTGGGAAAATAAAAAGTTAATAGGGACCCTCAAATCATTAATTTAAATAAACTCTTTTTTTCATAATTTCGATCACATACTAACAAAAAGACCAAAATTAAAGTAACCCTAGAAATTCAAACTATAATTATCTGTCAAGCAGAGGGCCAGACCAAAAGAAACCTTCAAAGCTGAAAAGAACAAAAAGACACCCAAATGCATAATTATCAAAACCAAACAAATCAAAAGAGAAAAAGAAAAGAGGCCACGAAACAAGGGTACCTTGTTCCTCTGTCCCCTAGTCTTTTAACAATGTTTATTATTCATAAAAATTCCCAATTTAAATCACCCAATAATTCATCTTAACTCTTCAAGATCTAAGTCATATATATATATATATATATATATATATATTCTGGGAAAAAAAAAAAAAAAAAAAAGAAAAAAAAAAAAAGAGTTTGATGACAGAGTAAATCATGAACTAATATCAATATGCAGCAAAAATTAATCTATAAGATCTGTATTTGTAAACCATACACATTACACACACAAAGAGATATAGTTTATATATATTGATTGATATATCATTTCTTCTTCTTTTTGGACTTACCGTTACAGAATAATGAACCAAACCCGAACAAATTCATAGTCCCCAAGGAAATGTAAGTAGGCGGAAAATTCAGAACCGGACTAATTCGAACACCATTGCTATAAGACCTGCAATTCTTCCCCGACGGAGTCTTTTTCGACGAATTATAAGAACAAAATGCGGCGGAATTTAACGCCGGTGGCGATTTCGCGCCACCAATTGACGATGACTGTTGCTTCGGAGCTTGATGCTTCTGATTCTCCTTGGTGGATGCTCTCTGTTTCTGCACAGTTGGGACCGAACCAGTTGAATTGCTCCGCGACAAGAACTGTAGAGATCGGATTAAGCTCTTAGTATGTCTGTTGTCACAGTTGAGACTACTGCTTCGCCTGAATTGCCAGAACGATTTCAACATAGGCTTCTCTGCTTCTTCTTCTTCGTCCTCTGTATCGAAATTGCTCGACAGATACTCTTTCAATCTCTTTTTCTTCGGTTTATCTTCGATTGCATTCTCATTTGAACTGGGTTGTTGAGTTTGGTTGGTTTTGATGACTTTCCTGATCTGGGTCGGCTGAAAAGGGACCGAATTCGAATTGGGTTGTTGAGTTTGATTGGTTTTGACGACTTTCTTGATCTGGGTAGGAAGGATCTTGCCATTGGAGAAGAGCTCATCAGCTGATGGGAGCTCAAAGCTCTTACAGATGCAGAAATGGAAATCGGAATTTGAGTCCAAGAGTGAAAAGTCTGATCGGACCACCACCGGAGGAGTTACGCCGCTGTTCTCTGTTTGGTTGAGATCATGAGAAAATGAGATTCTCGGGCTGGCTCCTAGACTTGAAATCTCAGAGCACACATCAACCGCCATAGTTACAGATCTTGAATGGGGGTTATAGATTTGAGGTTGCGAAAATGGGAGTCAGCTTTTGCTTTTTTTGTTGTGAGCTCTGGAGAATATCTGAATATGGAATTGGAATATATCAGAGTGTGCTTGTGATATGGCATACATTTTGTGTATGACGTGCACAGACTTGTCCGATTTACAGTTTGAGATTGGCAGAGTAAGAATGAAGTTTTTACATTATTTGGAGGGATCAGAAAAAGAAGGAAAAAGAGAGGAACAAAGAGTGAAAGTTACTGAATTTGGGCACCGAAAGGCTACCTAAGCTTGTTATAAATAGGGGGTTCTCAAAGAAACTTTTATCTTTTAGGAGAGAGAAACATATAGATACAGATAGATACAGAGAGAGATATATAGAGAGAGAGATTGATGTTCTGGGGTTTAATGGAGTGAAAGGGAGAACTAAATGATGGGGGAATTTGGCGGCAGCCGTCCGGGAACACCGGTGGGTCCCAGGGTTTGTTCCGATCAAGAGGAAAGGGATCTATTGTTGGTGGTCACTATTTTCGTCTATGTGCGACTTTGGCATGCGTTTTTTTTTTAATAGAGTGGTTACAGAGTGTGTACCACCAATTCCGACCACTAAAAAAGGCTTTTATGGGCATCACTTGTTGAGGTTGGACTTAGCACATAAGGTCCTCTGCTCCAAATTAATTGACTAATTAATATATATATATATATATATATAATTTAGTTTTGGTTTCAATACGATTTGAGCAACTTTCAGAATTTTAGATGAGAATATTTGTTATTGGACCTTCGAATTGAGTGATGCTACTGAGAAAAACTTCTCGTGACAAATAAATTACTTTTTTTGTCATAAAATAGATTTCTTAGTAGCGTTAGTTATTGGATTTTGATTCACTATTATTTTTTTTCTCACGAAGAATAACAAAAATGGAGAGATTTTGTGACAATATATATTTAAACCCTTCTATTCTTAATTTTACAATATTATCTTTTAATAGAATATTACCATATTTGATAATAACAACTTTATAAAAAATAAAAAATAAAAATGACATAATTGATTAATAAAAAAAATTTATCTAAAATATTCAACCTCTACCATTTAGAGAGCTAAATTTTGGTAACTACCATTTGTAACAATTTTCACCCTAGTAAGACACAATATCTTTTGACTTCCCGAATCAGATACTTTCCAGGGTCACTCATTCTAGTATTATTCCAAGTTAAGGAAGCTTAACTTTAGGCTATGTTTGGTAGGATGAGTTTGAAGGGGGAGGATAACATTAGTTATAAGGGAAAGGGAAGGAAAGGGAAGGGAAGGATAAGTTTAATCCTCAATCGTGTTTGGTTGATTAATGAAGGAAAAGAAAGGGAAGGATAACAATCATGTTTGGGAAAAGAAAGGAAAGGGAAGGATAATAAAAAATTTACTATTATGCCCTTTATATATTTTAACAGATAAATTTTTAGATTTAAATATGCAACAATATTTTTGCCCCAAGATTCGGTTCTAAGGCTCAGTTTGGTAGCAAATGCCACATTTATCTTCTCTTTCCAAATCAATATTTCAAAACTCAACAGCACTTAACTAATTTATGCAGTGGTATTGAGGCTAAGCAGCCCAACTCTGCCATGAGAAAATCTGCTCTTGTGCAGCTGATTAAGAATGGGAAGAAGATCGCTGCATTTGTACCCAATGATGGTTGCTTAAACTATATTGAGGAGAATGTAAAAGTCTTCGACAAAATTAGTGTAGATCTTCTTTAATTGCTTGCTTTGTGTTGTAGGACATAAAGCAAGCTAAATCTTATAAAAGGAGCCGGCTCAAGTAAAAGTGGAGGAGGCTCCAATATGAATGGAGCAGGCTCTACTTTAAGTAGAGGAGGCTCCAATATGAGTAGAGCAGGCTCCCAAAATGGGAGGCGGCTCATTTCAAGAAAAATTGTTCTGGGAATCAATTTTATGTCATGTTAGGTGGCAGAAGTAAAACAAAGAAAAAGAAATGCAATTTACCCAAAAATAAAAAATAAATAAATAAAATGTAACTCACTTTTATTCCTAAAATGAAGTTGAAATAACATTCATACTCAAAAGCACAAATGAATTTCCTATTAAAAGTTTGATTTCCTTCAACAAAAAAGATGATAAAATCAACAAAACAATAATAAAGTCAATGAAATAATCATATTGGTAAGTACTGAAACAATCAATAGATCGCATAGAAAACCCAATTACTAGATCTTCCTTCAAGCAAGTAACAACAGAGAAAAGTAAAAAAATGATCATTAATTTAATCTTTAAATTTGGCTTCTTACTTTTTTGGGTGAGAGGGGTTTGATCACAAATGTAATCAATGATGATCAACAACATAAAACGGTAAGTTAGGTTCTTTCTGACTTTATTTAAAAAAAAAAAAAAAAAACTTAACAACCCAAGGCATGAAGTGGATCGAACATACAGATCCACCAATTTCTTGCAAATAATGACCCCAAATTAGGAAGTGCCGAGATATAATGGGAATAGGACACTTGAAGGGAGTCGGCTCAACCATGATCATGGAGCCGGCTCTTATGGGTTTTTGAGAGGTGCCAAGTGGAGCCGGCTCTTCCTTTTTGTAGAGCCGGCTCCACATTTTTTTTGGAGCCGCCTCAAGTAATTGCTGGAGCCGGCTCTCTTGGGCATTTGAGAAATCCCGAGAGTTGGTGTATGCAGGCCAATAATACAGGCCCTAATATGAAGAGCAAATTTGAGGGTAAAATTGGCTTAACAAATATTTTGTATGCCATCGCCTGCCATTGCCTTCCCTTTCCTTCCTTATCCTCCCAATTTTGGAAGGTTAAAAAATTACTGTACGTTGCTTATAAATAACCCTCCAAACCCCTCCCTCTCCTTCCCTTTCCCTCCACTAACTTTACCCAAACACAATTTTTTTATTACCCTCCATCCCCTTCCCTTCCCTTTCCCTTCAAACCCATCCAACCAAACTGACCCTTAGAGTTCTGGTGGGTTCACGACCATCACAACTTTAAAACGCATTGTGTCATAGGAGAGTATTAAATTTACATATAATACTTGCCCCATTCACACCCACGTGATATGAGATTGTGCACATGTAACTCGCTTAATGTGGTAGCCTATTGGTACTACACCTATGTACGCTCACACACACCCGTCCACAAGGTTATCACAATCACCCTAGAGCCCAACATCCTAATTGGCCACACTTCTAACTGGGTCCAACTCTGATACCATTTATAATAATTAAAAATATTTTTAATAATTATCAAATACACAGTAATTTTTTAAAAAATAAAAGTACTTTCAAGAATCCCAAATGAACTCCAATTACTATAAAACTTACATGACCGAATGAGTTGAATATTTCAGTCGATAAATGCACTCCCCTTACTTTACGAGAGTCCATGTTCCCCTCACCCCATCCCCTGTATCAAGACTTTAATTTAGTTAGTATATGGATATATACACATTTAGCACACTTTATTAAACTATTTGTCAAGTAATGGAAGAAGAATACAGATAAGTATGTCTTTATTTATTGACCTAAACTCATAGAAATGTCTTTTGGTAAGTTACACTCAACTGTCTTTCTTATTTTATAGGTGTGGTCAATCACACACCCACCAAAAAAAAAAAAAAAATCCAATTATTCATAGATAATACATAATTCATCTTATCCATAAAAATATTTAATGACAAAGTAGTATTGTTTGATGTAACGATAAAATATTAGTGTATAAGTCAAATAATAGCTTGTTACACATGTCGTTTTCTATTATTAATTTTGCGAGGGTGGCCATTTTCTCAAATGAAACACTGTCAATGTCTTTGATCTCTTCAATCTTGAACTTCCCCATTTGAAATATAAAAGCTAACATGACTATTTCAAAATAATGCTTCATTATAATTTATTTATTTTTATTTATTACCTTATGAGGTGGCAATATGGACAGAAAATAAAAAATATATATCTCTGGGTATTTAAAAGACGTATCATCATCCCACGTGGACTGACATGAGAGCACGAAGCTGCTGTCTACGTTGTTGATCAATTCATTCATTCATTCCTCGGCATAACATGTTACTCTGACCACTCAATCACTTTGCTTTTCAGAACACACACATTTGTCGTCTTATATATCTCATGCCCACTGTATGTTCCCCTTGTCTTAGCACATAGCGCCTCTCTCTCTCAGTCTCTTTCCCTATGTGTGTGTGTATATATTATATATAAAAGATATCCATAAAGTATTTTTAAAATAGAAAAAGTTTTGCAATTTGGGGCAAAAATATGAACTAGTTTAAGTTTGTCTTTCATGAATGCTTCTTACTATATCTTTTCCTCAATAAATATACTGGACAGTTTTTGGTCATACTTTCCCTCAATGAATATACTATGTAAGACTAATATTATAAAGAAAATTATATTACAATTAATTCATAAATTTTTCAAAATTTACTTAGGCAGTTCTAATTTGGTACAGGATATATGTTAGTTAGGAGAGAAAATAACCCTTAATTGTGTTTGGTTGACTAATAAAAATAATAATAAATTATTTTTGGAGAAAGAAATATAAGAAAACTAATTTAATGAATGTACCACTATCCTTTTTCATTCACAAAATTTGTCTTTTATAAAAAAAAGAACAAATTTGGTAATAAAAGCATCTCCAACCATTGTGTGTGTGTGTGTATATATATATATATGTATGTATGTATGTATAAATTTAATGTGTCATAATGAATTTATTCAAAATTTTTGAATTATTTATTTTTAGCTCAGCGGTTATTTTATACCTTTTTGTGTAAAAATATATCCCCAATTACAACCGATCAGGACCCACATTATTTTTACAAACCTATTCAATATAGGGTTGATTTGTTAATGGAATGAGCAAAAAATGAGGAGTAATGAAATATGCTGGTTGTGTAAAAAGGTTGTGTAAAATAAACAACAATTTTACGCATAATATGACAGTGACAGTGTATCTTAATAGACTGTTAGAGATACAAAAATTGTATATTTTACAAAATATATATATATTTTTTAACAGAATGCTGGAGATATATATTTTTGGTGTAAATCACAAAAAAATTAGATTATTTATTTTTAATTCCATCGGTTGTTTTATACCTTTTGTGTAAAAATATATCCTCCAATAACAACCAATCAGTATCATGACTCGATCCCACATAATTTTTACAAACTTACTTAATATTGGGTTGATACATATTGGTGACATGACAATTTATCTTAACAGACTATTAGTTATTAAAAAAATTTACACACATATATTTTAATAAATTACTAAAAATACTCTAATAAAGTTTCATTAAAAATGTTAACCATTCCTTACCATTCCCTTTCTTTCCTTTCCATAATTTTATACCAAATATATATATAAATATATATATGCATTCATTTCCTTCCATTTCTTTCCAACCAAAGTGGGCCATAATATTAAATTTATTTTAACTATGTTTTTAGTTCTAACTCAATTCTCTCCTTTCGAAGATGGTAAAAACATA